GCCTCGCAGTCATGGTTGAATTTCAGCCCACTGCTGCAGCGACCGTGTCCGTTCATCTCCGGAGGGCCTTCCTGTTACGGACAGAGTACTGACCCTCTACTTAACGGAGCATGACGCTCTTCTCCAGGACTGGTGCCCTTGAGAACACGTCCCGAGGCCGTGAGACAAAGCGTCCTACTAGCATTACTCCCCCCTAGACCACGGATGTTCCCCTCTTTATGGCCTCAGGCAGGCACCAAGTGTTGTGTGATGTGCAAAGCCTGGCTTCAGTTCTTACAGGGAACTCTTAAACAAGAGACTTAGACCAAGAAGAGTCCAGCAGAATAACTTCATAGTCAGCTGTGATAAAAGAGAAAGTTTGGAATCCAGGAAATACATGGTTGAAAATGTGTATTTCCCCTCTTTTAAAAGGAAAAAAAATCCCACAGTGTTAAGAAGGTTCAGGATTGGGGGTTACCCGAACCCTAGCTGACCTCCGTGTGGCTCTGGGGACATCTAGTGGTTGAAGAGAACTGAGCCATGCTGACAGGGACAGGCGCTTGAGGCGGACCCTGGGGGACCAGAGACACAGAGGGGGAGAGGTAGAAAATGGGGGCTCAAGGAACACCTCCTTTCAGAGAAGGTGGGATTCAACTAGTACATCTGGACTCACACACCCCTTTCTGCTTTCCTCGGACAAATTACTTAGTTGTTTCCTTTTTGTTGTTTTTAATGTGTTATCGAGTTGCCTGCAACTCATAGCGACCCTGTGTACAACAGCCCTAAACCCTGCTCTGTCCTGTGCCAACCTCACTGTCTCCAACACACTACCTCAGTTACCCCAGTCACTGAATCAATCCACCTCATAAAGGGTCTTCCTCTCCTGTGCTGTCCCTTCACCCTCCCAAGAATGACCTTTCCTCGAAGGAGTAGCGTGGTTTAAACCTCTCTAGAACAAACTTGTTTGTTTTCTTAGCAGTCCATGGTACCCTCAATACTCTTCTCCAGCACCACAGCTCAAACGCATCAGTTCTCCTTCTATCCTCCCTAGTCATTGTCCAGCTCTCTGATGTATAGCAAGTGATTGCCAAGACCATGGCCTGTATCAGACGCACATATTTTAAAGAGACACCCTCCCATCATTATTCTTGGAGGTGAGAGCTTTAGGGGCGATAGATGAACACATTAAAACTCTAGCAAGTGTGTGTGTGTCATGTTCAGACTCTGCTGAGCAGGTGCGTCCTCGCGGCGCCCCCTAGAGGCAGGAGCTGGAGCGATTTCAGACTCTGAGCGATTTCAGACTCTGACCACTACAGAGTCAAGGTCAGACACTGCTTATTTAACGGCAAAGACAACGTGAGTTCTCCTATTTTCATAGAATGAATTAATATCTTCTGCCACTTTGTGCTAAGCTGCTGAATCTTTTTGGTGATGGTTTTGTTAGGTGCCGTTGAGTCAGCTACGACTCATAGCAACCCGTGAACGACAGGATCTGAATCTCACCCTCTCCTCCACATCCTCGTGGCTGGTCTCTAACAGGCTTGAGCCCAGTGTTACTGCCACTGTGTTGCTCCCTCTTGCCTGGGGTCTTCCTTTCCTTCTCCGACCTTCCACCTTTCCCAGCATGATCTTTGCCCAAGGATTGGCACCTCCTGACACCATGCCTAAAGTACGTAAGATGGAGTTTCACCATCCTTGTCTCTAAGGAGCACCCTGGCTCCACTCCCTCCAAGAAGACTTTTTTCCCCCCTTGGCAATCCATGGACTACTCTGTACCCTTCTCCAACACCACAGTTCAAAGGCAGTGATTCTTATTCTGTCATCCTTATTCATTGTCCAACTTTCACATACATAGAAAGTAAATGGAATAAAACATGATTTGGACCAGGCACATCTTACTCTTTAAACGGCATCGTTGTTCTTAAGCACGCTGGAGGGATCCTTGACAGGACATTTTACCAATGCAGCACTTGTTCTCTTGATTTCTATGACCCTGGGTGTTGATTGTGGATACAAGCAAGATGAAATTGTTGACAACTATAGCCTTTTCTCCATCTGTCATGATGTTGCTGATGGTCCGGTGGTGAGGATTCTTGGTTTCTTGATGTTAAGTGCCGTCTAGTCGTAGGCGACTCAGAGCGACCCTACGAATGAAAGTCCTCAGCACTTGTGTGCGTGACTTTCATCCTTTCTCCAGGTTCGTAGGAATTCTGGAGGCAAGCTATTTATGGAAGTGGATGCCACTCCTGCTTCCAAGGGTTTCTTGATATTGAGCTGTAATCTGTGTTGAAGGTTGTAGTCTTTGATCTTCTGCACCAGATGTTTAAAGTCCTCTTCACTTTCTGTAAACAATGTTTTATCACCTGCATAACGTGGGCTGTTGATGAGTCTTCCTCCAATCCTGATGTCACATTCTTCTTCATATAGTCCAGCTTCTTTATTAAGACACTCAGCATACAGGTGAAAGAGGTGTAGAGGAAGAATCCATTCCTGACACACACATTTCTTTATTTTAAGCCATGCAATGTGCCCTTGCTCTATTCAGAACAGCTTCTTGGTCTAGATATAGGTTTGGCATGTTCTGGGATTCCCATCCTCTTCAAGGTCAGCCATAATCTGTTATGATCCACATACTCAAATGCCTTTGCATAGTCAGTTAAGGCTGGTATTCTCTGCCTTCCGTCAAGACCCACCTGACATCAGCAATGATATCCCTTGTGCCTCTTCTGAATCCAGCTTGACTCTTTGGCAGTTCCGTGTTGATGTGCTGTTCTATCCATTGTTTTAAATAATCTCCAGCAAACATTTTTATCTTGTTTTATAGAATATGGTTTTGTGGTTTTTTTTTTTTATCTGACAGCAAAGGAACCTACATCCTTGTGTCTGTCTAGGCAACAGTCTCTATGCAGACACAGTTCTGATTTCCCACTATAAAATCCCTGAGGACTTCTCTGCAGCCAAGGAGAAGGGCCGTGTCCCCACACAGACCTTCCCGGCATGCTGCTGCTGGTAGGTGCCATTCAGGTCAGCTCCAACTCAGGTGAGCCCAGCCAGCAGCAAGCCCCTGACCTCCTAGTGGCCACCACGTTCAAGGCCATTGATGCGGCCACGGTCTCAGCCCCTCTTGTTGAGGGTCTTCTCCTTCTCCGCTGACCATCTGCTTGATTAAGCATGACGTCCTCCTCCAAGGACGTGCCCAAAGGCTGGAGACCAAGTCGCCACCTTCTTGCTGCTAAGGAACACTCTCACTGCCCTTCCCCAGGACACATTTGCTTGCTCTTCTGACAATTGAGACATTCGGTGGTATTTGCTGGCGTAAGTTCTGCTTTAAACCCCAAGGCTCACAGTTCGAATCCATCAGCTGTTCCTTGGGAGCAAGATGGGCAGTCTCCTCGTGTGTGGTTTACTGTCTCTAAAAGCCCACTGGAGGTGAGCTGAGTTGTTCTGACTCGACAGTACGTAGAAACATAACCACCAGCTTTTCTCTGTCCTCCTTTATCCACTGCCTGACCTTCACATGCACAGAAGGAAGCTGATAAGTTCAAGTACATCTTAGTCCCCAGTATGGCTTCTTTGCTCTTCCACACTTTAAAGAGACCTTTGCCACTGCTCTGTCCATTGCAGTGTGTCCTTTGGTTTCTCCACTGTTGTTCCAGGGCCATTGATGGTGGATCCAAGTAAAATGAGACCCTTAAAAGCTGCAGTCTTCTTCCCTGTAAGGCAGTGGTTTTCAGCCAGGGCCAAGTACTGCCACCCCCACCCCGGGTGACGCTGAACTATTATGTAGGGAGGCACACTGCTAACCCAAGGCTGATGGTTCAAATCCACCAGTGGCTTCGTCAGAGAAAGAAGCGCGATCTCCCCATGTGCTGTATGCAGCCTCCAAACCCCACAGAGGGTCAGCTGGGAGTCACTTCTGACTCCAGGCAAAGAGGGCAAGACAGACACTGTTGATGATCACAGCTGGGGGCCCAGGGCACTGCCAGCGTTGCGGGGGTGCCAGGAAGGCTGCCAGCACCCTACGGTGCACAGCTGGCTCACCCCAGAGAAAGACCAGAGCCGAGGGGGAGGCACCCTGCCCGGGGAGAGTGCACCGGCCATTTGGGGCCGCATAGGTCCTGAAATGAAGCTTTGGCTGCGTCACCAAACAGTGGCACAGCCTGAGGCAGCCAAGGCAGTGGGCAGAGGGAGAGCTGGTGGGCCGGGCTTCCAGTGAGGACAGGCATCGTTTGCGTGATGATGTCGTTGGCAGGGCCTTTGTGGTGGGTGTTTCATATCAAGAGACCTGGTCTCTGCCTCGGTCCCCTCTCTGTGGAAGGGTTGTACAGCCTTTTTGCCTCTCTGACTTCCCAGCATTGGCTCGCTGCCTGCATCAACTCTGAGGACAGTTGATAACTCGTGCTGGCCTGGGTGGTGCAAGTAGTTCACTGCTCAGCTGCCAGCTGAGAGGTTGAGAGTTCAGATCCCCTTAGAGGCACCTCAGAATAAAGACCTGGTGATCTGCTCTGAAAAACCACGCCATAGAAAACCCTATGGAGTTGTAATAAGCAGGCCTGTTCAGTGAACAGTGATCCCAGGGAGGTGGATATTCGCTCTCCTTAGAACAATCAACCGTCTGCAACCAGAAGGGCAGCCGTTGTCCAGGAACAACACTCAGGAGACAGCATGGATCTGGGTGGAAGGATTAGTGGAAAGGAGAGTCACAGGGATGAAGTGGGAAGAGTGCAGTAAGAAGTAGGAAGAAGTAAGTAGGAAGAGGAAGAAGTAAGGTGGAAGAACTAAGAGTAAGAACTGTAATTCCTGTTGGGGTGCAAACGGTTGAATGAAAAATCCATTTGTTCTCTAAACTTTTTTTTTTTTCAAACCACACTTTTTTTTTTTTTTTAAACCTACAGAACAGATTTTGCTCCAATATAGGAGGCGTCTTCAGCCGGGTTTGTAGTTGTTAAGTTTTCACTTTGGGCTTCTTGATTTCAACCCCACCTGACTCACCCTCTCTCCACCTCTCACTAGAGCTGAGCATGCAGAGTCCCGAGGCTGGCGCCGACTCACCGGCTCCTGTGACCCTCCGTCCGTCGGCAGCAGCCTCAGCACCCGGGACCCAGCCCGTGCCCGCCTCGCCACAGGTAACAGAGCACCTATCGGCCTCCTCCCGGCCTCCCGGGCCCCTCCCGGCCTCCGGGGCCTCCCAGGCCCCTCCCTGCCTCCCGGGCCCCTCCTCCCGGCCTCCCGGGCCCCTCCTCCCGGCCTCCCGGGCCCCTCCCGGCCTCCCGGGTCCCTCCCGGCCTCCCGGGTCCCTCCCGGCCTCCCGGGCCCCTCCTGGCCTCCTGCCCCCCTCCCCCATGTGCCCAGCCCCCGCAGCCCCTGCTTGTTCATCCCACTGAGAATGATGCTAGATTCAGTACAGAGAGGACACTCCATTGTTCTGAATGGATTTATCAGCCCCTGCTGATAAAGGCAACTGCTGTCCAAATTGCCCCAGCTTTAGTATTTTGTTACTTCATTATTTGAGTGTTTTTTTTTAATCTCATCCCACTCAGAAAAATGTGATGACAGAAAAGAAATTACTGTTGAATATAAGTTAGTTTGGGATTATTGTGAGTGTGCGAGTGTGTGTGTGTGTGTGTGCGCGTGTGTGTGAGAGAGAGAGAGAGAGAGATCTGTAACAGCGCATTTGCCATCGCGTTATTTTGGCCTCTACAATTCGGATGTTAGCTGCAACCACTATGTACCTCCATCACCACACTCCACTTCCAGATTGTTCCATCGCTTAGCTTCTCATGCATGTTTCCTCATACTTTGGGAATTGCCCTGAAATCCAGAAATACATCACGGAGAAAACTGGAAATAAGTCAGACTTCTTTAGAGTCTGGTGCAAAATTACAATTCCATTCTAACATGTCTTGTTGTTGTTGTTGATTGCCTTTGAGTTAAGCATGACTCATAGTGACCCTTTGAACAAAAGGCCTGCAGCCCCTCTACAACTATCGACATTTATCAAAGTTCATGGAGTTTCTGGAGGCATGTTGTTTAGGAAGTGAATGCCACTCTCTAGTTGGTTAAAATTTGCCGTGGGAGAAGCTTCACACGGAGGCCCTCACCACTTCTGGATTTCTGCCACAAATCGTAGTGAAACAGAAAGCAGACAGATATCAAGAACAGGTGAGGCCTGAGACTGCTGGAGACAGATTCCCCATGGAACAGATTAGAAGCAAACAGAATCTTCTAGAAGATTCCATAGATTCATTGTGGCCATGAGACCAGCCATGCCTCACCAGCAGCAATCTGAAAATTAAAAGCATAATGAAATGATAGAAGAATATAGCGGAGCCAGAAGAAGAAGAAGGCTGACATGGAAGCCGCTTGGAGTCTGGGGAACACAGAAGGGTTTGCATTTAACAGCTACTCTGAAGAGGGGGTCCTGGTAGTGCTCACCCCTGACCTGACATCAGTGGTTCAAGCCCCACGGAATAACGACCTGGCGGTCTGCTTCTGTAAAGGTTACCCGCTGCTGCTGAGCCCGTCCTGGACTCAGCGACCTTCCATCGAGTCTCTAAGGTTGCGGCTCTTTGTGCGAGGAGAAGGTCCTCCAGCAGAGTGGTTGGTGGCCTCTCACGGCTGACCTTTTCAGCTAGCGCCTCAAGTGTAACACACTGCTCCCCAGGTTCCACACCCTACGGGGCAGCTCCACTCTGCCCCCCAAGGATTACTGTGAAAGCATACATCCCCCACCAAACCTAAAGGTTAGTGCTTTGAGCCGACCCGCAGAACTGCGGAAGAAAGGCCTGGTGATCTGCCTCAGCACAGACACAGGCAAGAGAACCCTTGGGCTTACATTCCCTCTGCACCACCTCGGTCCCCTCGGCTCAGAAATGACAACCACAGGTTAAAAACCATTTGTACAGCTTTTCTCTCTTTCGCATCTGGCCTTAGTAGGAAGGTGGTCTTGAGGGTCCATGTCCAGGCACCAAGAGCTGTGAGCAGGCCCAGCCTTGCCGAGGGCAAGTCCTAGCTTGTGTCTGTGCCAGGCCCTCATCCAGAACACCTCCTGGGCCGCCGTTTCCTCCCATCAGCACCAGCAGTCTCTGCCAAGGCTACTGGTGACCCAAGGGTCTACCTGCCTTCCCTCCCAGTGACCTGTGCTGCCAGCTCCCCACCAGTCCTTCTTTTCCCTCCTCCCCAGGCCCCCAGGTGCTCTCCACACTGAGCCCCTTCCTGTGTGCTCACCCACATCCTCAACAGGACCTGTCCCGCCAGCCCAGCCCTGTGACCTGCAGGCCACCTGGAGCTCCGCTCAGGGGCCATCCGGGCTGGTCGTCAGCTCCTTCCACGAAGAATCACCCTCACTCACTGGGTGCCCAGGTCCTTGACATGTGGCCAGGTGCACGAGAAGCATTGGATTTTAAAATATATCTGAGATGAACTCCATTTCCAAAGCCACATGGCTGTGGTAGCAGACCCGAGTGCAGACATCTTAGACACGTCACACAGCGCTGTGTGCAAATGCAAAAAGTCGGTCATTGCTCTGGAGTCCCAGCCGACTCATGGCTCACCCCCCACCCCCGTGGGTTTTCAGACACTGTAAATTGCACAGGAGACGATTGCCTGTCTTTCTTCTAAGGAGCAGCTGCTGGAATCGAACCACTGTTTTGTGGGTTGGCAGCACAGCTCTTTACCACCAGGCTGCCAGCACTTCCCATACAAATGTACCCCCATAATGTCCCCTTCACCCAGCTGTCTGTGTCCATTCTGCACTGATTCCTTTTACTAACTGAGGTAACAGTCATGTAACATTAAATTCACTCTTAGAACATGCCTGGGTCAGTGGCAGCTGGTACAGTCATGACCCTGTGCAACCAATGCCACTGTCTAGATCTAAAACATTCCCATCGCCCCAAAGGGTTCCCCGTGTCCAAAGAAAGGCCCCCTCCCGGCACGCCCTGTCCTGCTTTGCGTGCCCTTGGGTTTGCCGAGTCTGGTGTTTGACACACGGCCTGGGGTTCCTGCCTGGTCCTCATGCAGCCGCGTGTCCTCAGGTCCACCCCTTCTACGGTTGGGCAGTGCCCCTGTGTGGACAGGCTGTGTTGTATGTATCCATGCGTCCTGCTTGCATGTGTGCCTTCTGTGCTCTCCTGGTCATTGGTTGTGGCTCACGGCAGGGGCAGGTCCCTGCTGGACTGGCCCAGTGTCCTGTGTCCTGCTCCCCTGGTGCGTGTAAGCCTAACACTCTGATGCCACCTTTGTGTTGTAGTAGCACATTGTGAGCACTAGAGGGCAGGTGGTGGCGCAGGGTCGCCAGCATTTCAGGGTCACCACTGCTGTTGCAGTAGGGCTGCCCCATGGGGGTTCCTAGGATGTCATTATTGGGGGTGGATCGCCAGGTCTTTCTGCCTCGGAGCTGCTGGGTGAGTTCAAGCCACCAGCCTTTCGGTTAGCAGCCAAGTAGGAAGCCATTGCCCCACCAGGGTTTCTGGGGGCCACCACGCCCACCAACGTTTTGAGGCCACATCAGAAAGCTGCAAGATCACAGCCAGTGGCTTCCAGAGCCTGGTTCGCAGTCAGCAAGCATCCACTGTCCCCTCTGGGATGCATATCAATGCTGCACATCCTCAGAGCTTGGCATGGGCAGCAATACCCCAAGAAAATGAGCCACGCACACCCCTATAAGGGCTAGAGGGTGAACGAGGCCACAGGACAAGAGACCAAGAGGCTGAAAACTGGACATAGCCCAGATTCTAGAAGTCTGTGTTCTGGCCCTCGCTGTATAATGGAGACTTGTCCAGTGAAGCCTGGAAATCCTGGGGTGCCACAGAGCGCTCATTCGGGGGACACTGGTGTGGGTGGTTTTCTAGAAGGTGCTCACAGCTTTCCCCTTGGGCCAGGAGCACCCCTTATACTTGACCATTGTGGGCATCCTGTGGGGGAAATGGGGAGCATATGCCTTCCCTGTGTGCGAGTGTGTGTGTGTGTGTGTGTGTGTGTGAGAGAGAGAGAGAGAGAAAGAGAGAATTGTGTACATCTGTGTGTCGGTGTATGTCTGTGTGTGAGTCCGTGTGTGTTTGTGTGCGAGTCTGCATGTCTGTGCATGGATGTGAGTGTGCACGCACACCTGTGTGTGCACAGTCCCTGAGGTGCACCTGTGTGCACATACTCTGCGTGTGTGTGATGACCAAGCAGCAGCGCAGCAGGCAGGAAGTCTCCCTGGCCGTGACAGCTGTGTGTTTACCAAGTGTCCCCTGACATCTCAATGTCCTTCTCGTTCCTTCCTTCCAGCGGGTGTTGGTCCAGGCCACGGGCTCAGCCCCCAAAGGGGCCCAGATGCAGCCCCTCTCCCTCCCCAGAGCGCAGCAGGTGCCGCAGCAGGTAAGGACCCGCTGGCTCCGGCCCCCAGGCCCAGAGCAGAGCCACCGGACGGTGTAGGGGCCGAGTGTACTCACTTACCCAGCTTCCGTTGTTGGGAAAACCCCCACAGAGCACAGGCACAGCTCAGTGACACCAGCCACTTCTGCGGGTGCCACTGTCCTCAGCCTCCTCTTCTGATCGTTCCTCTCCTTCAATGTTGTTGTTGTTGTGTACCACATCCCAACCAACCCATCACAGACACTCCCATGGGTTTTCAGAGGCTATTACACGGGAGGAGACTGCCCGTCCGCTGGTGGATTGGAACCATGTGCCTTTGAGTTTGCAGCACAGCTTCTTACACTGGAAGCCCCCTGTCCAGTCTACACCCACTATGTTTCCTGCCTGCTCTTCTGCATAAGATGTCCTTGGTTGTCTGTCCTCTTACACGAGCAATTCACCAGCCCTTTCTCCCTTGGAACCCTGGCTGGGTTTGAACCACTGACCTTTCAGTGAGAAGTCGAGTGTTTCACCACCGCTCCACCAGGTCTCCTGGCCTGTGCGCAGCTAACACAGCACAGTGATGCCTTGGTGGCAAACCTGCCCTTTTTTCCTCTTTTCTGCTTAGTATCTTCAGTTCCTTGTCCTGAAGGTTCTTTGGGCAGCTATGAAAAACAGTAACAATTGTTTAAAAAAATAAGGGAAGAATCTTTTCTTGCAGAAAGTTTGGTTGTACTAAACCAAGAAAATTGCTGGGTCTTCCATGCATTTACAAATCCTTCAAGGATTGGGTGGGCATGGAGACACCCAGTGGCCCCTGCTTAGAAGTGCAGCCAGAAAGCCGGTACCAGCACCCCTGGGACTCACCTCAGATGAGCGCCTCCTCTGAAATTAAGTCATTGGAGAATAAAGCACACAGTCACTGCAGTCACCAACTTAAATCTCGAGTGTGACCTACAACAACACTGCACTAACCATTTCTCCAAAAGACTAGAAAGTAACATTTTTTTGGCTCTGCGGGCTAGACGGTCTTTGTCACAGACACTCAGCTCTGCTGTGATGTCAGGAGAGCAGCCCTGGATGATGTGCAGTGAGTGGATGTCACTGTGTGCCAATAAAACTTCATTTGCAAAAGTGGTCCGGTTTGGCCCCTAGCTGTGTAAGATGCTGCATTAAAACTAATCCAGGCCCCGAAGGAACCAAAAGCATCATCAGTTATGTCTAAGAGCAGAGAAGAGGCTGCCTTCTCCAACGGTCCCTCACCTAGACGGTGGTTAGTTGAGAAGTGCTTCCCTGCCCACTGTCAAAGAAAACTGGGGAGCTATGCAGGGGATTTTGCAAAACAGAGGCTCCGGCAGGCCAGCAGGGAACTGGCCCTTCCAGCCAGAGTCCAGGTCTTATTTCCTCACTCTCTGTCCATCTGTCCAGGGGGCCAGTGTGTGGCTGTCAAGGGCTGGGCCTGCCCCAACTCTTTTCTCTCTCTTCTTTGTCTGTCTGTCTGTCTGTGTCTCTCTCTGTATCTCTGACCTTCCTGGTAACTCTCCTAGTCTCCTAGCCCCATGGGCTTTGATTTCCTCCCCTCGAGATACCACTCAGTATTTCCAGAACTTTCCTTTGGCATGCTTGTTATTCCAGGGAATTGTGTGTTTTGTGAGTGCAAACCGTGGCCAAGTATACTAGCCAGTGGGCCTCGGCCTCATCCTGCAGCTTCCAGCAGTGGCTTTCAGGGGCCATGGTGAAAGACCTGGGTAAAGTCAGTACTTTGGCCCCCAGTTTCTTAACCCTAAAGTGAGGCTGAGCTGGACGTCCGTTAAGATTCCCTCTGCTAGGAGCAAAGAGAACCAGGAATAAGAGGAGGAAATGCAATCTGTGACTAACTGCCTCAGTGAGCAGCTGCCTTTGCCATGAGACCAGAACAACCGAACGGTGCCTTGCTTCCATCACCAGTGAAAGATTCTGTAGAAGGATCCTCATCAAAAGGGTGAGGGATGTGGAACAGAATTTCAAGTTTTCATGGAACCAAGATTTTCGGGAGGCATTGAGATGGGATGAACTTCAAACAATTGCCCTGAAATAATCTTTAAACCTTAAACCAAAAAGATCCCCTGAAATGTTGTTGAAACCAACCAGTTAAGCTTAGCTTAACGAGTGGAGTGTACACTGTCCTCTTTTAGAGACCGTTCAGTATGGACTGAGGCTCAATGTCAAGAAGACGAAGATTCTCACCACTGGACCAATCGGTAGCATCCGGATGGATGGCGAAGAGATTGAGATTGTTCACAGCTTCAGTTTGCTCGGCTCCACAGTCAACACTCTTGGCACCAGCAGCCAGGAAATCAAATAATGTATTGCGATGGGAAAGTCTGCTGTTAGGGCCCTCTCTAAAGTACTCAAGAGCAACGGTGTCTCTCTGGAGACTAAGGTGCTCCTGATACAGGCCATGGTCTTTGCAATCACTTGTTATGCATCAGAGAGTTGGACAATGACTAGGGAGGATAGAAGGAGAATTGACGTCTTTGAGCTGTGGTGCTGGAGAAGAGTATTGAATGTACCATGGACTGCCAAGAAAACAAACAGATTCATCCTAGAGAGGGTTAAACCAGGCTACTCCTTGAAGGCAAGGATTCTGGGGCTTCGTCTGACATACTTTGGACATGTTGCAAGGAGAGACAGGTCTTTGGAGAGGGACATCATGCTGGGTAGAGTAGAAGGACAGCACAGGAGGGGAAGACCCTCTATGAGGTGGATTGATTCAGTGACTGGGATAATCGGGATGGGTGTGTCAGAGGCAATGCGATTGGCACAGGATAGAGCAGGGTTTAGGGCTGTTGTACATAGGGTCGCTATGAGTCACAAACGACTCGACGGCACATAACAACAACAACTACATGGGATGACATTGGCAGCAGCGACTTGAGAGGTTAGGTGGGGAACTGGGCCAGGTCTGGGGTGGGGGATAGTGAGTCTGTGCTGATGAGGGAGGAACGGCCCACAAGAGGATGGTGAGGACAGCTGCACGGGCCAGCAGTGTTGCTGACCTGTGCCTGTACCTGTACCTGAGCCTGTGCCTGTACCTGTACGTGTAAGAGGTACTGGTGTATGTTTTAAAGCACTGTGTGTACTCTCCAAAAAACCAAAAAGTTTTAAATTCCTTTTTTGAAAATGGTGCTCTCTGCAGTGGGATTTTGAGGTTCTGCCCAGCGTGCCAAGCATCCCCCCCCCAGGCCGGCATCCCTGGGTTATCCATGAGCTGAGTCCGCAGGAGGACGTGGGGCTCCTCCCTCAGCGCCCCTCCATCTCCCCCCTCCAGATACCTGCCTTCCTCCTCTGTCCAGGCCTTCCCATTGAGACTGACTCCAGGGGCCCAAGCCTTCAGCAGGGATGGACCCCAAAGAGAACAGCAGGGGTTTATGTGGAGTAGATTAGCCTGCTCCCACTGCCCTCACAGGGCGATTCACACTCGAGGGCCAGGTTTTGCCCTCGCCCTGGGTTTCCTGGTGGGCGGGGTCAGCGCTTCTGCCCCACACACTGTGGAGGGTGACCTTGAGGATCACGTGGGTCGCATGGAGCCGGCCGTCCCTTGCTGTCCCCAGGACCACTCACCCCCTTGGGACAGGAGCTATTGTTCCCTGAAAGCGGCTTTAGCTGGAACGTCAGGAGGGATGGACGTCCATCACAGCGGCTGTGTCATTGCAGGTGCCGTCGGTCCAGCACGTCTACCCGGCCCAAGTGCAGTACGTGGAGGGCGGGGACACCGTCTACACCAACGGAGCCATGTACGTGCTGTCCCCTTCGCCCGCCACCCCAGCTCTCTGACTGAGGCAGCCCTCGAACAAATTCTTCCCCTTTTCTCACGTTGGTGGCGTGAATGATGAGCACGCTCTGCGGCTCACAGAAAAGCGGGGAGTCTGAGTAAACCCGGGGAGCCTGAGGGAAAGGCCCCGGACGCCTTCTCGACGTCAGCCCTCGGAATCCCGTGGCTCCTCCTGCTTCTGCTCTGGCAGGAAGCGAGCCGCTTCAATGGCCGCAGGTCCCAGCCCAGTTCTGTGAGCTCCACGGTCAGGTTCACACGTGACCACAGCCCCCATCCCAGC